TGGAAAATTACTGCCACGTTCAACGTATGCTGGAGAGCATTATATATTTACTTCGTTAGGACACTAGCCTTAAGCTTCTGAGTTCTGCCAAAAAGAAAAGGTGATATTTTCCTTTTGTGATTTCCCAGGAAACTTCTAGTGCTTTGGTTCCCAGGTTTTGCTATAAAAATGCATACGAACTAGTTTCCAGCCTTTGGTGATTAGAGAATAGCAAAGCTTTGTTTTCACTGGACAGAACACCGAATCACTCTTCGTGCAACAAACAGATGTGAAAAAAGATCTGAAACTAGAAGACACATTTGCACTTATTATCTTTAAACTTACTTCACTTTCTTTTTCTTGGTTAAAAAGTGGTGATGAGATTATTTCTATTAAGAAGGTACCAGAAGGTAGGCTACTCTTTCTCTCCCTCACTAAGGTATTTTAGCTTGAAATTGTGGTGAATGACTTAACTGAGATCCTGAAGCACACTGTGGGAAAATATTTTTGCTTGTCAATAATATTTTAAATTTTGATAAGCTAGAGATTATCAGAGTTTTATTTTTACTTTTCTTCTTACATATTTTATGTCAATGCAATTTTTAAAAATGAGAAGGGATAGGTTTTTTTCACGCACTGACGCAGCAGAGAAACAGGCAAAAGGAAAAAGGAAAAGGGGTTTTACTATCTTGGAGGACATGGAGAGAATCTGAGGAAAATGAGGATTCTCTGGATTGGAACAAAGGGAGGCTGAGGCTTCTATGGCCTTTTGTCAGGGGTAGAACTTGAAGGGGATGTTTAGATATACCTGAGGGAGCTGATTGGAGTCTTCCCTGAGGCGGCGGGAAGGATGAAAGGAAGTTGCACCCTGGGCTGAGCTGGAGAAGGAGGGGAGGTGGTCTTGGGGAAGATGGGCTTTTGTGGGGAAGATGGGCTTTTGTTTTAAGGGCTTCAGCCATGATAAATGACTATCATAATGATTCAACAATTTATACTGGGACCAGAACCTATCAAGAAGTACAGACTCCAGTGGCATGCTCTTTATCATTCAATCTAACTCTAAAATTGTGCTCTTCAGCCCTGGTGCCCGTATTCTGTGGTTTGATTTACAGTTTAAGCAGCAAATTTGAGCTTTTAAAAAATTCCTTCATAACTACATGTTGTCATTAAAATTCAGTTGATCCAGTTAACTCTGATTTTTATATTTTAAAATATATTACCTAAAAGACAAGCTCTCTCCTTCGAAGTAACCCAGGTATGAATTTTTAAAATAATAAAAAAGATTTTGAGACAAATTTGTAAGCTGTCCTATGTGGTAACAAAATACATTTTTTTCTTCTCTTATTAATAACTATGGGGATGTGTTTCAGAGATTTTCAATATAGTTTTTATTTCAAAACATTCAGCTTACTTGACTATGAAATCAGATTTGCTGAAATCTTTTATGCTATCCTGTTTTTAGCACTTTATGTCTTTTCATATTCCTTTACTGTTATTTCAACTTATTCTATATGGAGCAGAAATTCAGACATAGATTAAATATCCAATATGAAATTACAGTCACCTTAGTAGTTTTTGCTTGCTGTTTTATTGTGACATAGAACACAGACATAGAAAACTATCTACAATAAATGTATGTCACATACAGTTATAACACAGCCTCCCTTATAGGTACCAGGAAGTTCACCTTTTTATGAAATCCTCTTGTGCCCCAGCCCAACCCCAAGCTCATCTCTTCTGCCCAAAGTAAGCCAATTATTTATTGGTGGTTCTTCTCCTCCTTCTTCTTCTCCTTCTTTTCTTTCTTTCTTCTTGCTTCTTTTTTTCCAGTACCAGGGATTGAACTCAGGACCTTATACTTGCCAAGCAGGTGCTTATGTTGCTGAGCCATCTCCCTTGCCCTTGGACTTTTTTCTGTAGTGTATCATTTAAGTTTGCAGTCTCAATAAGTCAGGCTTGTTTATTCTCTGTGCCTTTCAACATATAAATGTCCTCTCCATTCCAGTTTCCCCCTTACACTTAAGGGTAAAGCTCCCTGTTCACTTGGCAGAGTTTTCAATCTGGATTATGCTAATAGAGTCACAGTTCTGCATGATTCTTGTTTCTGTGTATTTCTTGACAATTGCTAATTACCTTACAAAATCCTGATCATATTTATGTTTCTTTGATTACTTTTTATAAATAATCCTTTCAGCACACAACACATAATATCTAATTATCTCTTTGTTATGATGTTAGTAACAGTTTACACTCAAGGGCAAATTTAGTAGACCATTTGCAGGATAGTAAAATGGAAATCCCCATATGTTGTTGCTCCTTTTATTGTTTTTTTCTTGATTTATTGGCTGGCATACATTGCCTCATCTACTATATGGATAATAGAAGTATAATTTATGTGGGAAAGGCAAAATAAATATTTGATTCCTCACTTTTATTTACAGATTTTCCTGATAACAAGTTAAGTCTTTCATCCTCTGAACAGAGACAATTTTTGTTGTCATAATATGACCTTTATTTTCGATGTGGTTCAATTCATTGAAATTCTTCACCTTACTTATAAAGTTCTGACCAGCAGGATCCTCTCCAAGAACTTTTTTATTTCTTAAAAAATATCTGTTTTGATATCTTTGATACCATCCTAGATTTCTGGTATGACAACATGTTCCAGGCTGGTTTGGAAAATAGACAAGTTGTAAATATATCTATGAGCTACTCTGAACCCTGTTCTGCCCTGGTTGTAAACTACTTCTGAAGGGCCAAGAGTAGGCCCCCTGGACGTGTTTTCCCCTTCTTAAAAGAAACAAATCAGTCAGTCAAAAATAACACAAAACACATTTTAAAGTAATTACTGTGTGTCAGATGTTGTACTAGTTCCTGAGAACATGATAGCGAAAAACACATAAAACTGTCCTTAACAGATTTACAATTTGATGAAGATAAAATAAGCAAAACACCATGTTAAGTGACCTTGTCAGATTCCATCGTAGTGTAAGAGTTACAGGGGAAAAAAAAAAAAAAAAAAGAGCAAAGAGAGAAAGGAAAATTCTTTAAAGATGAAGTAAACTTTTTTGGCTTGCAAATTGGTGGATAAATATAATATTCATTCAAATAGTAAGTGCAGGATTGTAGAGCTAATGCAGTGTTCAACTCTACATAACTAGCTAGTGTTACAGGAGAAGCTGGAAGAAGGCTGTCTTGATTCAAGTTCGCAAAAGATCCCTGGCCTCACTAAATATACTGACAAATAGTGTATTCAAATGAAAGCATGTGAGATTATTAGGAAATGATTTAATACATATGCACAGTTTCTTTTTAAAACTTTAGTTGTTTGTTTGTTTATTTATTTATTTCATACAGGGTCTCGCTATGCAGTTCACATGTGTAGTGATCCTGTATCCAGATCCCCACTACTGGGATTACAGTTTCGGGGATGGTCTGGTATGCCCGGAAGTGCAGGTGGTACTGGGGATCAAACGCGAGTCCTTGTACCTGCCAGGCAGGCATTTGGACCACTCAGCTATCTCCCCAGCCCCTATATATGATTTCTTTTTGTTAGTAAACAATCACCAAGTCTGTGGCAAACCTCCTTGTATTAAACTACTCCAGAATGTCCAGAAATCTGGCAATCTGATCCCAAGATAAGTCTCTTTAACACAACTATCTTTTCTTATGTCAGAAATGTTTCCAACTTAAATTTTTCTTCACAGAATCCAAGTTTCAAATCTATTTAATGGGGCAAAGGGTATCTATTCTAATCTAGACTGAATAAATAAGTATGAATTTATTTGTTTTTCTCGCCAGAGTAAGTATTCTAGAATCCCCCTTACTGTTCTATTTTATTTCTTAGGATTTTTATTCGCATTAGATTTATCCCTCCACTGAAATATCTTTTTATTACCTCATTTATCACATTTATATCGTATTTTACTCAATTTTTATCTGCCACTTTATTTTAAAGATGGTACTTCTACTTTCCATTTTTTTTGTCTGTCCATGTCAATGAAAAACAGTAAACCAGCTCTTCTTTGGACAAAATCCATAAATGAAACTGCCCTTATTAGCTTATTGTCACTATTATTATTATTATTATTATTATTATTATTATTATTATTATTATTATTTTGTGGGACCAGGGATTGAACTCAGGACCCTGCACTTGCCAGAAAGCGCATATCCTACTGAGCTATCTGCCCAGCCCCTTGTCATTATTGTTGCTCATCATGCCGAGTCACTTTCTGATCCATCATTTCAGCAAAAAATTTCAATCTAGTTTAGAGAACCATGCAAGGCCCTCCCCTCTGCAGATTTTATGTGACAGTATGATCCATTTATATTTCCTGAGCCAACTGTTTTAGACTGAGGATATAAATTCCAAGAGGTAAAATTGTAATTCTCATAAAAAATATGAACTTAGATCAAAGATTTCTTAAACTCATGAATTAATGATAACACCAGCAAGATTCTGATTTCAAAGAACATTTGAAGAGCAAAGTTTTTATAGGGTTTAAATATGGGATGTTGTGATAAAATAAGATCGGTTAGATGCAACACTGATTAACATGCTGCGTGCTAAGGCACGATTTGTATTTTCTTTTTAACCTGACAAGGTGGTTTGCGTCCGCACCTAATCAAACTATCCAAGTTAACATGGAGTTAGTAAACAACCCACCAAAGTGCGTTCCTCTAATCCTTTGGGGTCCTGTGCCTTCTATCACATTTTACACTTTTGCCTCATTTCCAATTTGTAGATAACTTTTAATAAGACTTCTACTCCTTAGACTGAAACACAGGGTTTTCTTTTAGGTCAGAGGAATGTCAGTGAGTAACCAATGAAGTAAATTCTGTTCTTAGACTTCCTAAATTCTGTATACAACTGCCTAACTTAATCTTTAAAACTGAGCTTTTGAAGCATATGAATTGCTCTAACTGGACTTGAAGGTAAGGCAAAGAAGATTTTTATATGCTTAATAGATTGAAAGTAATTTGCTATGGAATAAACTCTACATTTTTATATTCCTTAGGGTTTTCCAGGAGATATTGGGATTCCTGGACAAAATGGCCCTGCAGGACCAAAGGTAAAAAATAAAGAAAACTGAATATGGATATCTAGAATTTTTTTCTGATCTCAAGTATCAATGAAAGGGAAACAGATTTTATCAGAACATTGTATTAGAACACTTCTCCATTTCTGATATATTTAATGAACTTTTTTGAGTTCAGGATTCACATAATTGAAAATTATTTTCATGATTTCACATAGACTCTTTATTAGGGTGACCATATTTACAAATCGTATAAATCATTCAGAAAGGATTTGGAAGTGATTGAAAAATGCAGCAGTTCTGAAAATCCATAGGATACAAAAATATAAATGAGAATTTTCTGACTACTTACCATGCTGATGAAATATCCAGTTATTAAAATAAAGCATACAGTATCCTGGCACCTTTTACAGCATAAAATATCTGAATAAACCTAAGTATTTTTCATTTCCTTTGTTGTGTATATACAATAGGAATTACCCATAGCAACATGTTGAATACCAGGCTTTGCCTCACGGGCTAGTTGCACACTATAAGCAGATGAGCATTATGAATAAAGGCAAGGGATGACAAAGCCTGAACTTTGGAGGGTTCACAGATTAATCATATAGCTGCTATGGGAAATATCAGTGGGACTAGAGAGAGCAGGGAACAGGAGAAGCTGAAGAGGATATTAATAATAGCTGTACTTTTTAGTGACCTATATTGTCAAGTAGCATAGCGGTAAATGTTTTACAAAAATTATATAAAATTTATGAAAATATCACTGATGGAAGTATCTCATTTAATTTTTATGCTAGCCTTAAGAGACAGATATCAGCCCCATTTTATAAATTGTATCACTCAACATCGTGTGTTATAACCAGGATTGTGATGCAGATACAATTGCAAAGTCTGAGGACTTAACCACTTAGCTTTGGAGAACATTCAAGACCATGAATAGTTCCTACTTCATCCTATTGATATTAGGTAGTAATCAAAGATATTTAAGTAGTAAATAATCCTAGATGTTTTATGTTTAAAAAGGAACTTCTTATGTCAGAACAGAGGATATGTTAGGAGGGGTGCAATAAATCTCAGGGAGATGAACTCTAAAAAGCTAGGGAAAAAAACCAAGAAACATAGAAAGTAGCACATTCATTTCAGTCAGCAAGTATTTATTGGTTGGTTTTTCATGTGACAGCCATTGTGCTACAATGTCCTGATCCTTTTAAGAAATGTACAAAATAACTCAATTGTATTTTTATGGCAGAATAGTACTCCATTGTGTATAAATACCATATTTTCTTTATCCATTCATCTGATTGCATGGTTTCTCCTGTACTAAGAGCCCAAATACTATATGTATGAATCATGGGCTAGGAGAGGAGGCAAAAGGATAGAAAAAAGAATCTAGATATGTTATGTACATGTATCGACTCCCCGCAAAGAATGTAATCAATACGTAATGCAAATATGTGCTAATAATAAATTCTAAAGGAAGTATGCAATATGGACATGAGGGAAATCTTTACAATAATTATAATAAATAATACATAGTATGCAGTGTACAGAATGAGGGAAGTGCAGGATGCGCACCACACATAGCACTTGGGTTGACATCATGACTGAAGTCATGCAAATTACTTTTAAATATATGGTATGCGTGATGCTCAGGAAAAGGAAACTTGTGAAGGAGTCAAGGTATGATATTTGAAAATGTTTCAACTGAGGGGCTGGTGAGATGGCTCAGTGGTCTAAAGCACCTACTTAGAACAAGCTAAGCTAAGCAAAGCACAGGGACCGCGGTTCAATCCCCAGCACCACATGCCAGCCAGCCCCGCCCCTGGTGGGCTGAGCTGGCCACACACACACACACACACACACACACACACACACACACACAAATAAATAAAATTACAAAAAAAGAAAATGTTTCAACTGAAAGTTATTTGCCGTTTGCCTGAAAGTCTAATTTAACAGAGCATTTTGTCTGACACACGCATCTGCCACCTACAAATTTCTTCCGACACGTGCCATTTTCCCCTCCTCGACCTCCATAGACGTGTTCCTGTCTGTTCATGTTCCACATGTGCTTTGCATCAGGTCCTCTCCTGAGCAACAGCCTCGTGTCATCACTTATAACCTTTATCTCAATTTCTCCTTTACTCAGAATTTCCCCTCTTTGCCCTTATAAAACCAGCCTCCTTGCCAACTTCTTCGCTTAGCCTCTCTTTCTTTTTCATGCAGATTAGTGTAAGATACTCCAGTTAGTCTTCCTGCCTCCAGCCTGGCATTTCTTCAGTTCCGCAGCCAAGTGGCTGTTGAAATAATCTTTGTGAAGTACATCTCGCACCACGTCACATTTGTGCTTAAGACCTCCAGTGATCCCTCCAGCCTCCAGCTTTAAGGCTTAGACTTGCTTGCTTTTAATGCAATGCTCTATCTAGCCTTTGTCTACCAACTCTGTAGTCACATAGCTACTTGTATCATCATTCTTTCAAAACCAATCACTTCAGCCAAACTGTTTATATTATTAAACTGTGCAGTACTTGTTCAAATCTCACAGCTTCCCCTGCAGGTCTTCTGTCTGGGCGTGGATATCTCTGCCTTCCTGTGTCCTTCTCCGTTAGCTGATACCTCCATATCACACATCACATTTTTCAGGCAGCTTTCTCTGTCATTCTCAAATCTAAATGAGATATTCTTTCCTTACATTTATGAAGAAAAATGTAGCAATTATTTATCTTTATATATTATGCCTGCTGTTACGCTTATCTAACTCTCTACTGAACTTTATCATTTTTGAAAAAGGAAACTAATTGGTTTATATACACTACATTTAAAGAACCAGACCAATATGTATAACATACAATAGAAACACAGCTAATATGGTTAACTGGATGATTGATTGAACGGCTATGGATCTAAGCTATTTGGGGAATAGAAACAAGACAATTTGGTAAATGAAAGTGATAGGAAAAACAGAAGTCAGAAGTAAAAGTTAGACCATGAGTAAGGCTGCTGACGTCATTCAATTTACTCGAGGAAGCTCATAGGTGAACTCAGGAGTATATTCAGATTTGGAAGGTGAGAAAGACATGCTTGATTCTGGAGATACTTAGTTTGAGATATCTTTTTGACAAATATTCAAAAATAATTGGTATCCAGTAGTAAACCAAGGAGAAAAGTAGAAAGAGTAATAAGAAGAGGTTGATTGTGGGGAGATTAGAGTTGACATTTTTCTAGTTTACTTTAGCCTTTCACCAGTTTGAACTTTATGCATACATAATGTTATCTGTTTGTTCTATACTTTTTTATTCAACCTAGATTAAATTGTCTATGATCAAATAACTAAATTAGATCAGATACTAAAGGTGAATCATAAGGATTTATAAATTATGATCTCTCCCTTTGGATAAGGTAACTATTTAATAGAGCAAAGGTATATCATAAAACATAGGAAGTGCTAGATACAAGAGTTGCTGCTCTGTAAAAACCTGGATAAGTAAGCAACAGATTCTTTTGGAGGAAATTCAGAAGTAATCCTTGAACTTACGCTTGCGGATGCATACCACATTGAGAGTCAGGTAGCTTTCACAGTTCTTTTCACTTAAGGATTTTGTTTTCCTTGAAGTTTTATCAATAAAAATGTCAGAGAAATGAAAAACATGATTATAAGAGATCTACAGAACTTTTTTTTATTACTTGTGTTAGCTTGAGTGAAATGCTGGAAGTGAGTCGCCAAACCTGAAAACTAGACATTCTAATTCAACCAATGTTGAATATCCAGTGAGCAATGGTTGTCTTTTAGATCATTTTATCTAAATTTATTAGATAATTATTATCCCCCTTACAGGGAATTTTTCCGGAGGAACTGAAAACGTCATATCATAGTGATATATGTGTACCTATGTTTATAGCAGCACATTTTGTGATAGTCAGATCTTAGAAACAACCCATCACATGAAGAATGGTTGAAAAAAATGTGGTATTGTTATACAATGGAGTATTACTCAGCTATAAGGAACGATAAACTCGAAGCCTTTATATTTAAGTAGATGCCACTTGAAGATATACTCAAAAGTGAAATAAACCAGACCCACATGTGTAAATATCGTATAGTCTCCATAGTATAAGAACTCAAAAGAAGAAATACAAATAGAAAGGTATAACACAATTAAAAGGAAAGCAAGAACTTGAGAATTGGACAATGAGAGAGCAAGGAGAAAAGCTGGGAAACAGGACGGGGACAAAGCCGTACATTTATATGCACAGGATGGGCAAGGCAATGATCCTGAGAAACATCAGCGAGTTTTTGAAATTAGCAGTTAATTGGTAGGATTCTCACCCTGACTAACTATACATGCTGATACCTATAAACCAAGCAACTGCACTGAAGATAGCAATGTGTCATAGAAGGGTCACGCTTGAAATGCCTGTCATTCTGGTCTTCTAAATACATACTTCTTGCCATGACATACCAATTATTACCATACTGTCTCACAAGTAAGTTTTTCTTTTTTTAAATGGGTAATAAATGAAAAAAAAGGCACAATAAAAAGAAAAAAAAATGTCACAGGAGTATCCTGCTACAATGATATATATGGCTAGATTTCTAAATTCCTATGTAAAAATATGTAATTGTTTATTCATATTCTTTAAAAAAAGATAGTTATTATCTTATAGATTCACCAGTACCAATAATGTAAAACTAATTGATTTTATACTGATGGCTGAATTTTAAAACAATGTCGTATTGTCTTTTATTTTGCTTCTTATATATATTTTGGATTTCTCATAAGAGAAACAATGTAATATTTAAACATGTATCATTAGTATTGTTTGGCCTTATAGAGATCTTTTTCAAATGGGAAGATGAATAAAAGATCAAGGAAAAGGAGAGGCAAGGAAGGAAAAGAGATACCAAAAATGAAAGAATGGGGCTGGCCAAATAGCTCCTTGGATTAAAGTGCCTGCAAGCGGTGCAGGGGCCAGGGACTCAATCCCCTGTGCCTGTTGTGCTGGCCCCACCCCCAGGTGCTGAGACCACA